GTCCCAGAGAAGACAGCTAACCCAGCCTGGGAGGTGCAGTTCCACTCTGTCCTCTAGGGGCGCTGTGAGTCAGAATCGACTCCTCTATAGTTGGGTTTGGTTTGGGCTTTGCTTCTGTGAAGATTGACAGTCTTGGAAACCTTGTTTGGTCCTTGCCCACAAAACCACATCCCCAGTCACTGACCAACCCTAAATGCCCACACTATTTCTGAAGCATGGCGTAGGGGAGATCCACTATCTGAATCCCTTTGCCGTATAGACTCTATTCCAATGCATGGTGACCCCATGTGTTAGAGCTGAACTACTTCTGAGAATTAAAACAATGAACTCAGCAAACCTCCCAGTTAAAAAATCACCACCACCACCACCAACAGCCAATTGCCATGCGGTTGATTCCGACTGACGGCGACTCCGTGTGCTTCAGAGGGTTTTTAGTGGCTGGGTTTTCAGAGGTAGGTTGTCAGGACTTTCTTCCAAGGCACCTGTGCGTGGGCGCAAACTCCCAGCCTTTCAGTTAGCAGGCGAGCACGTTAAGTGTTTGCACCACCCAGGGGGAGTCACAGCCCGATGGGATCCAGCTTCTGCAAACCTCACTGGACCTCGTCCTAAGACCCTCACTCAGCTCGGGCCAGCTCAGCCTCCCTCAACCTCAGTCTCCCTGTTCCTCTTTCTGGAAGATTCTTCTTTGTCACCCACCCTGCCCAGCCCCTCCTAGTGCAACCTGATTATAGGTACGGGGGTCTTTGCGGGTTTGGGTTTTGTCATCACTGCTTCCCCACTGGGTTGGCTGCTTATGAAGCATAATGGTGTTGCCTTGGTCACTAGTGCTGTGTTTCCAGCGCCCAATATGGGGGTCCCAATAGGTACCTGTTGAATGCTCAAGGCAACCAAGGGAGACCGTTGGTGGAAGAGAATCCTTGGAGGAGGTGCGCTGGGCAAGAGGTAAAGCTTTTGCTGGGTCCTGAAGATGAGGTAGGATTTGAGACAATGAGTGGGGTGGAGGGAAGACATTCTAAGTAAGACTGTGTCATGCCGACATTCACCATCACTTCTAAGATCAATTCTCAGTGTGCTGGAGTCAGACCTGGGTCCCAATCCCAGTTCTGCCATTGTCCTGCTGTGTGACCTTGAGTACATTCCTTAACCTCTCTGAGCCTCATATCCTCCTCTGTATAATAGAAATGAAAGTGGCCACCTCCTTGAGTGGTTGTGAGGTTTCTCAAACCCCAGGCACCTGTGCTGTTGCTTTATTGGTTGCCATCCAGTCAATTTAAACTCATAGCGACCTCCTGCGACAGAGTTAAAACTGCCCCCATTTAATCTTCACGAAAGCAGATTGCCAGGCCTTTTTCTTGGAGAGCCACTGAGTAGGTTCAAACCGCCAACCTTCTATTAGCAGCTGAGCACTTAACTGGTGGATCACCAGAGCTCCTAGTTAATAAACATTCGTTGAAAAGGAGTTCTGGTGGCACTGTGGTTAAGGCATTGGGCTGCTAATCAAAAGCTGGAACTCACCAGCGGCCCCATGGGAGAAAGATGAGGTAGTCAGTTGGCTTCCGTAAAGATTACGGCCTTGGGAACCCTGTGGTGCAGTTCCACTCTGTCCTCTAGGGGCGCTGTGAGTAGGAATCGACTCCAGGGCAGTGGGTGTGGTTTGGGCTTTGCTTCCCTAAAGATTGACAGCCTTGGAAACCCTGTGGGGCAGTTCCACTCTGTCCTCTAGGGGCGCTGTGAGTTGGAATTGATTCCACCACAGTGGGTGTGGTTTGGGCTTTGCTTCTTTGTAAAAAAAAAACTTGTTTGTAAAGATTGACAGCCGTGGAAACCCTATGGGGGTCGGGATGAGTCAAAATGGACTGGATGGAAGTGGGTTTCGTTTTGTTCCCACCCCCCACACCCCCGTTCAGGACGTAAGTAGCCAGGATGGCGCAAGTGGTTTTCAATCAGCTGCTAAGCCAAAGGTTGTCAGTTCGAGCCCACCCCGAAACTCTGTGGAAGAGAGGCCTGGTGATCTGCTTCCATAAAGATTATGGAAAACCCCACGGGGCAGCTTCATTCCGTAACCCACGGGCCGCCATGAATCGGGCCATGGCTGCTAACCACCACCACCACCACCACCACATTTCAGGATTCGATGACAGAAAAGATTTTCATCCAAAAGAGTAGGAAGGAACACTGGCTTTGGAGCCCCATAGACCTGGGTTGGCGACTGGCTCTGCCACTTGCATGCTGTGTGATCTTGGCTCGATGAATTTCCCTCTCTGTGCCTCAGTTACTCGTGTATCTAATGGGATCATAAAGACACTGACCTCATGGAGTCTTTGCAAGGATTAAATCAGATCATATGAGTAACTGCACAGTACGGCGTCCGGCCCTGGTGGCACAATGTTAAGTGCTCAGCTGTGAACCTAAAAGTTGGTTGTTGGAACTCACAGGGCAGTTCCGCGGGAGAGAGACCTGGCAATCTGCTCCCAATAAAGATTACAGCCTGGAAAGCCCTATGAGGGCAGTTTTGTTATGTCACAGGGGGTCGCTATGGGTTGGAATCAGAAACAACATCACTATTAGGAATGACTGGAGTATATGGAGGGGGCGGCCCACTAGCCTGGAAGGAGGGTGGGTGGGGGGTGGGGCACATTTGCAGGCATGGAGCATTGCCGAATGCACAGGGAAACTGAGGCCCGGGGGGCGGACAGGGCCTTCCTGGAGGTCACAGACCACCTCGGAGACAGAGCAGGAACCTGAGACCAGGGCGCGATCCTCCTGAAGGATCTGGGGGGTCTAGAATCAGATGGGGGTCACAGGTAGGGAGTGGGCCCTTTAAATCCTAAGCTCCACCTTTGCTTCGAGGGGCACTGGGGTGCATAAAAGGGGGGTGCAGCTCCCTTGTGCTCTACTCGGTTCTGCCTGCTCCACCCCCAGCCCCAGCCCTCTTCCAGCCCCCCACCCCCACCCCCGCCCCGGCGCCATGGAGTCTCCCCCCTTTGACATGTGGAAGGACTACTTAAACCTGAACCAGGTGATCCTGACACTGATCCGGAGCCAACAGCAGAAGGCAGAGCCCCCAGGGGCTGGAGAGGCAAGACCTGGGCCACCGCAGGGGCCGAATGAGGGGCCCGAGGCCAGCGGGGGCCTGGCCACCCTGTGTAACTTCTGCAAGCACAACGGTGAGTCCCGTCACGTCTACTCCTCACACCAGCTGAAGACGCCAGAGGGCGTGGTGTTGTGTCCTATCCTGAGGCACTATGTGTGTCCCCTGTGCGGGGCCACAGGGGGCCAGGCTCACACGCTCAAGTACTGCCCACTCAATGGTGGCCAGCAGTCCCTCTACCGCCGCAGTGGACGCAACTCAGCCGGACGCAAGGTCAAGCACTGAGGACAACAAGGTACCCACAACCCATACCCCTTCGACCCTCCCTGGACATTTGGAGTGTGTGGCCCCCCCGAACTCATCTCTGCTCGATCTCTAATCATAGGCGCCTATGGGGGAGCCAGGCCAGCCCTGCTCCCTTGAACCTCACAGCCCTGCAGCTCCTTCTGGGCCAGACGCTATGATCTCCTAAGTTCATGGACATCCTGCCCCCTTGTCGTCTCCGCCCCACCGCTCCCTTCCTTGTGGAATTTTTGGATCCTTGGCCTTGGAGGACTCTACTGGGCTTGTCCAGGACAACCCTCAGAATCTGGGGACAGTGACCGAGGGAGGCTTCTCAGACCCTCCAGCCCAAGGCCTTCAAGATGGGCACCTCCCTTAAGACTTGCCTTCTCCACCTTCTTCATCTACCTGAAGACCCACCGCTTCCTCGGGGACCACGCTGGATCGTTTCTTCCCCATCTCCGGTAGCCCACTTGCCAGGAACTGAGGGAGAAAAAGAAGAGACCTGAGGAACGCCACGCCATTGGGACGCTATGTCACGGAAGCCTTACCCCAGGATGGGGACCCACCATCTTCTCCTTCCTCTGGTTCTTCCTCCCATTGTTGGTTCTGTGTCACCCTGCTCCTGGCTCCAACCCCCAATCACCCGTGAGTCCTTTCTCCCAGAGAGGTGCATCTCTCTGCCACCATCCCTCCCCCAATCATGAGAGTTAGAGAAAGTTTTTTTCCCCCCCTTGCTTTTTTATCCTCCAATAGTTATGCCAAAGAAGCATTGGTGGACATGCCCACATGAGAATGGTAGCTGCTTTGGTTTTGTTTGAGGGGCAAAGTAGAGCCCTGATGTCATTTTAAGTTCTTAAGTGTGGGCTCAGGTCTGAGGGCCCTCCTGACTACATGGGGCTATGGTCAATAAAGAGTGATTTTTGTTGTCTTTGAAATCACTTCCTCTGGTTTTTCTGTCTTTTCACTGGGCCCCACCCCGTGGACAAACCAGAGGATTGGGATGGGTGTGGCATTTTTCCCACGTTGGGGTGGGGCAGGGAAAGGTCTTGAGCCCCTGTCATCACCTGTCTCTGTCACATGGGTCACCTGTGGAAGGGTTTCCAGGTCTCTCCCAGCCTCTGCCTGGACCCCACATTCTGCCTTCAGTCCTTCCTTAGGCTCTGTCCTGGGTCCCTCTTCTGCCCTGTGTGACCATGGGTGTTCCAGGACTGATCTTCGAGTAGTGTGAAAATTTTGGGATATCCTAGGCCTTGCTGGGTAGGAGATTAAAATTATGGTCCCCACCCCAGGGAAATGCCCATAAGCACACAAACATTTATTGAGCATCTACTATATACCAGTTATCATTGTAGAGAAGAGGATAGCTAGACAATACAATGAATGAATGAATGATAACCAGTTGCCCTTGAGTTGGGCTCACAGTGACCCCATGAGTGCTGCACGGGGTTTTCAACAGGAAGCTAAAGGGATGGAAGAGGAATCCACCAGCTGTTTCACGGGAGAAAGATGAGGCAGTCTGCTTCTATAAAGATTGACGGCCTTGGAAACCCTGTGGTGCAGTTCCATTCTGTCCTCTAGGGGCGCTGTGAGTCAGAATGGACTCAAGGGCAGTGGGTTTGGTTTGGGCTTTGCTTCTATAAAGATTAACAGCCTTGGAAACCCTGTGGTGCAGTTCCACTCTGTCCACTAGGGGCGCTGTGAGTCAGAATCAACTTGAAAGCAGTGGCATGGGTTTTGGTTTGATCAAGTGTGGGCAGCCATTATGGTAAACACAAAGAGATAGTGCAGTCCTGGGGGATAGCAGCAGGGATCTTGAGACTTGGAAAAGTGAGAGGGGCAAGAGCTGAGGCCATCATGGGATGAGGGGGACACAAAGGGTCTGGAGACATCCGCGGTGAGGAGGTGTCCAAGAGGTTGCTGGACACATGGGTCTTGGGGGGCCTCAGATGAGTGGGCTGAAGACAGACATGGTGGTTTTCAAATTTTTATGGCTTTTGTCTTTGAATGCATGAACTCATCATTCACCACATATATGAAGTGGCAGGGTAGTGGCGGGAGGTAAGGAAATCTAGGAAATGATCCTGGGATCTCCCTCTCCTCTAGAAGGGGCGGAGTGAGTCAGGGGCCCCAGAGACTTCCATGCGAGGGTCGGCATGCCAGCTGTTGTCCCTCTCGCCCTGCGCCCTCTAGAACAACATAGGACAGGACAGGACGCAGAGCAGAGAAGCAGGTAGAACATTTCCTTCCTCCGTCTCTTTCATTCCTTCTTCCCAACGCAGGCAATCCCGGGTGGTCCAAGTGGCTAGCATGCTTGACTGCTAACAGAAAGTTTGGAGGCTCGAATCTGCCCAGAGGCGCCTTGGAAGAAAGCCCTGGCAGTATCTCTTTGGAAAAACCAGCCACTAAAATCCCTGTGGAACTCAATTCTGCTGTGACACACATAAGGTCGCCTTGAATTGGAATGGACTTGATGGAACCTGGTCTGGGCTTAGGAAAGAGAGTGGGGACATCTTTCTACTTACTTAGAATCATAGAAGGGAAATTAGATCCACTCAAGATAGGCCTAGCACCCCAAAGACTGACTGCTGAGCTCAGAACTGTGCGGGCCTGATGCTGAGTTCCAGGCCTACCACCTCGGCAGTGGTCGTTTGTTTTAGGTCATAAGTGCCTACCTTTTTTTTTTTTTTGAAATTTTTATTGTGATTTGGGTGAAAGTTTGCAGAGCAAACTCATTTTCCATACAGTAGTTCATACACATTTTGTTTCATTACATTGACTGCAATTCCCCATAATGCAACAGCTCTCTTCCCACTTCCTCCCTGTAGTTACCGCTTCCCTGTGTCCTTCCCTCCCATGCACTCCTGCGTGTAGCACCCCTCGCCCCCAGCTGTCTCTCTATGCAAACACCACCCTTTTGTATTTCCACGATTGATCACTCTAAGGAGTGTATCTACCTGATGTCAGTGTTCACCCCACATGACTGTCTACTGTCTGGCTGGAAGCCACAGGAGGGAGTGAGTTCAATTCCAGACCTGAAGGGTAATTAGGGGCCATAGTCTCAGGGGTCTCACCAGGCTCTGCCAGACCAGTAAACCTGGTCTTTTTTTTTTTTCTTCATGATTTTGAGTTGTATTCTACATTGTTCTCCCACTCTATCCAGGATCTCCTACATAGATCCTCCTCTGAGTGGTTGACTGTGGTAGCCGGGCACCATCTAGTTATTCTGGTCTCATAGTCCTATAGGCTGAGGATCACATGGTGTACCAATCACCAGGACTAATTGTTTCCACGCATCTTTGTTTTTCTTCATTCTTCTTTGCTCTGGACGAGGAGATACCCATCGTTGCATCTAGATAGCTGCTTGCAAGCTTTTAAGGCCTGAGTCGCTAGTCACCAAACTAGGATGTAGAACAATGTTTTTGTGTAGTTTGTTCCACCCATTGAGTTTAATGTCCCTGGGGGTGTGTACCATTTTGATGGGCTCTGTAGCTGAATATGCTCACGTGGGCTCCCAGTGGCCCTGGTGAATTGTGATGGAGGTTTAAGCCAACTTCCAATGAGGGCTAGAATCTGGGCCATTCTTGAGAATTTTCTACAAAGGAGATAAAAAGGAAAAAGTACAGTCTATTTACTATAATATGAGCATCGTGGTGACCCCACGTGCACAGACTGGAACTGCATGGCTGTGATGTTTTGGAAGCAGATTACCCGGTCTGTCTTCCGTGGGAGGGTTTGAACCATCCACCTTTCAGTTAGTAGTTGAGCACTTAATGGGCCATCCCATCCAGGACCCCTTATAGCTATTTCACCACAATAAAATAAAATAAAATAAAAACAAGAAACATCTACGACCAACTTTTTCGTCTCTTGCAGTAATCTAAAAATGAAAAAGTGCATCATATTTTTTCTAGGGCTGAACACATTATGCTGTTCACCATGTTAATGTTATATGAACACATTATGTGTTCACACACACTCACACACGCACAGACACACACACACCCAACCTCTGGGCCACCACTATTTGTATCCATCTATAGCCGCCTGCCTGGGGCCCCAGAGTGTCCTGCAACCTCCTGGCAGCTTCTCCCGGAGATGTTCCCAGGCACTTCATATCCTCCACGTCCCTAACTGACCTTGGCATTGGCCCCCAAGCCCACTAGCCTCTGGGCCCCCATCTCAGGCCTGGGCCCAGCATGCATCCTGCTATATAGGGCTGGAGAGCTGGGCCTTGTCCTCCTCGCCCTCCATGACCACCAGTGGCCAGGCCCTGTCTATTCTGTCTCCAAAAGCTCTCCAATCCTTCCTCTCCTGGTCTTGCCCCAGCCTCCCCCTGGCTACCCGGCCCCAGCCTC